GAGAGAGAGAGAGAGAGAGAGAGAGAGAGAGAGAGAGAGAGAGAGAGAGAGAGAGAGATTAAATCAAGGCTGTCAACCTTACTAGACAGACCAGACAGGAATCATACCCAGATAAACTAATTCCATTTTATCATAAGGTTATATTAACAAAATGCTTCAAGTCTGAAAGTATTTTTCTCACCCATCCATTTTACAGTCCAAAAAACTAGGGAGGGTCTCCTTTGAGGCTCTTGCCCTGCCCATATTCCTGCTGCAGGCTAAGCTGCCTTTTATCTGTCTGTCCCCTTGGCTATATCTCATTGCCCTGTCTCCCAAGGTCATGCTCACGTACCATTCCAAGGCTGCAAACTGCTAGAGACCAGCAAGCCCTGCTCTACTGCTGGTTAAGATAGAAAGGCTATGTCCATCAAGGCCCCTTTTTATAATCAAGTTTTTCTCATAGGGCATCACTCTGTTGTAACGATCTCACTTATTTCCCCTCAGATTGCTACAACAGGGTTATCATTCTCTTTACCCGATTTACCTGATTAATAATGTAGATTCCATAGGACACCTTCTGACGTCGTAGGATTGGATGCAAGTAGTGCAGCCAGTATTTGAGGTGATGCTCGCGGTGGCGGAAAGGTATGAGGATGGCCACCTTCTGCCGAGGCACACAGTCCAGGGGTGAATACTTGCCACCCTCCTGAACATCCGGGTTTTCCCGCTGCACTCTCTCCATGCTCATGGGAGAGCTAAATTCAATAAGGAGTCGGCCCACTGAAGAAGAAAGAATTCAGTTATAAATGCTTCAGTTAGTCCAGTGGTTCTCAACCTTTTTAATGCCGCGACCCCAACTGGTCGTAAGTCGAGGACTAAACCGGTCGTAAGTCGAGGACTACCCAACCGGTCGTAAGTCGAGGACTTTCCCTGCCCGGGAGTGCCGCGCATGCGTGGTTCCGCCCCCTGCGCCGGCCGAGGCGTAGCTGGCAAGCGGCAGAGACGGAGCAGACCGACCACCAGCTGGCCCAGCCCAAGGGAGGTAAGGCACCCGCCGGAAAAGGGGGGAAAATGGCGGGGAAAAAAAATGGCGGACAGCCTTGCTTGGCGACCATGAAATGGTCGATCGACCCCAAATGGGGTCCCGACCCACAGGTTGAGAACCACTGAGTTAGTCAATTCCAGAAGGGGAGCTTACGGTCCTCAGTATGTACCTGCCACTTCCATTAATCAAGATGAGAGGCTACTGTCCTGAAAAGCTCAGCAAAGGAACTTAAAAGCCAAACACATAATGCACTAAGGCCGTGGTGGCGAACCTATGGCACGTGTGCCACAGGTGGCACGTGGAGCCCTCTCTGTGGGCACGCACACCCGTCGCCCCAGTCCTAGGCCTTCAGCTGGGTTTTATAAAACCTTTTCGCTTTGGGCCTCCGCCACCGTGTGCAAAAAAAAAAAAAGGGTTCAATCAATCAATCAATCAATTTCAACTTCTTGCGGGGAAAAAAAAGATCTTGCAAAGTTGGAATTGATTGATTGAACTTTTTAGTCCCACCCAGTCTGCCGTTACCACCGCAGCCACACCCACCCAATCGGCCACGCCCACCCAGCACCCGACAATACATAAGTGGGTTTGGGGCTGCAGTTTGGGCACTCGGTCTCTAAAAGGTTCGCCATCACTGCACTAAGGCATGTAGTTCATAATATACACCATAATTTAATCACACAAATGACACTGATTGTGGAATTTGCATCAGTCATGTCTAATTCAAATTGTGGAATTTGCATGATGATGTCACGATGCATACAATGTCACTTCACACACATATACATTCTGCAAATTTCCCTTATGTATAATTGGGGCTTCAAACAAGCAAGAGCACAATTAACCCACTTGCCCAAATATGTCTTGGTATCTATATTTTTATCTAGGTGACCCAACTGCAAAATGCCCAAGCAATGACTCACAGTTGCCCCGAGAACCAGGCAGGATTATCACTGAAAGCAGCAATAGGCATGAATAAGTAAAATTGCTTCCATCTAGATCACGGGTGTCAAACTTCCAGCCCGCAGGCCAGATGTGTCACGTGGAAGCCACGCCCACCCAATGCCGGCAATGGCAAAACAGTCCCGATACGTTATGCGATGTCACGTGACGTTGCGAGTTTGACATGTCTGATCTAGATCATGTAAAGAAATATGCTTTTTCCCTTATGTTCTCCCAAGAGGATCCAGCTGGGGTGATCAGAGGAGTGGAAACTACCATACTGTTCCTTCTCCATTATGCCAGAATTCTCAGAGAATGTTGAGTTAACTAATTTGAGATTACAGATGGGTGGGAATCTCATTTTAGAGCAACAGTAGCAATTTGATAAAGGCACACCCATTTAGCAGTCAAAGGTGATAAGTACAAATACTGGCTATCTGCAGCTGAAAATGTGAGATGCTACAGCCTCCCAAACTAAAAAGTCAATTTACTTTTAAGCAGAGGATCAGCAGCTTGTATTACAGTACTTTTGTGATCTGCACAGATGCTAAAACATTTCCCTAATTATTTGCAATCCATACAGAGATCCTTACAGCATGCACTAGAAAACACCTGTTTTATCAACAAACTTACAACCTCTTTACTGAATATTAGTTTGACTTATTAGGATGGCTTTGAGTCCTACTTGAAAATAAGGCAAGCACTTGTAAGAAAAAACCCACTAAGATAACTCTATGCTTGCTGTCTGCTTTGAGTTCCTAGAAGGATGAAGAGAATTCAAGAGAAAAAAACATCTAAAAGACAGCTCTGATGAAATTAATTTGGTTTTACCACCGCCTTGTACATTTTAATATACTTTGGCACAGACTACAGCAAATTAAAATTGTATGGAAGGGAGTTAGCCAGAAGATGTAGGCAGGCAAGAATTTAGAGCTATGCTAAAATGGGGAACAACAGGGTGTTCAAGGTGAAAATAAAATTATTACGTGACCACTTCTTGATTTATCTCACATGTTTTCCATTGTATCCTATTGAAAGGATTGGATTATTTATCCAATTCCGTTTGCAACACTGTGCAAATTCTATCTCAGTGGTGGTGAACCTATGGCACGTGTGCCAGAGGCGGCACTCAGACCCCACTCTGTGGGCACGCGCGCCATGCCCTGGAGATGGCAACCATCCTCTTCAACCAGCCACCTGCTAACTCACTGAGGTCCCACGTGGCCGGATGCATCCCAGCACCCATGTGCTCACTGGCCTCTGTGTGCGGGGGCCAATGGTGTCAGGCAGCAGCCGCCCCGGCCCCTGTCTCGCCTTGCCCTGCGACAATGGCACCGCCGCCCTGCCTCGCCTCACCCTGCAGGACGAGCTTCCTGTCCACCGCCCCACCCACCAGAGATGCCCTGGATCTCCCCCAACCCTGCCCGGCCCCCACAGGCGTCCCTCCCCAGGAGCAACATTGAGCTGGCCACACCCACCCATCTGCCATGACCACCGTAGCCACACCCAGCTGGCCACGTCTACCTAGCAGGCCACGCCCACCCGGCACCCGGCGATACATAAGTGGGTTTTGGGTTGCAGTTTGGGCACTCGATCTCTAAAAGGTTCGCATCACTGTTCTATCTTATAGTTCCCTTCCTGCGTCTGAAGTCAAATATCACTTTTCAGCAAGGCAGGCTGCTGAGATTCAAGAAAAACAGGGATAAGCCAGAACAGGGTTATGCTCAACCACGTAATGCTGGATCCTCACTGCAGGCTTTCATTCAAGACAAGATACAAACCAGGCAGGGTTCATTTGTAACCTCACCAAGACCAGGCGGCATCTCTGGGCAGGGTGGCAAGGGCTTCTCAGTGACGGTGTGGTTACTCCCAACAGACTTGACACTTGGAGCCAGGAGCTCAGAGCCCAGAGGCCCAGCAGTACTATTAGGCCGAGAGACATTGGCGTAGGGCAGAGAGCGGGAAGAGTTGCGTACGTTGAAGCGGCTGAAAAAGTCCAAGCGCTGGGCATAGACATCAAAATAGAGAATCATGATGATAAGGAAGTGCAGTAAACATAGGAGAAGTACAGCTTTGCAAATCCTCTCGAGGGTCACTCCCACCAACAATCTGCTCATCTTCTGGACACAGGCTGGTCAGCATCAGGGGAGCACAGCATCGGCAGCTCAGGTCCAAACACCAAGCCTGTTGGGGAATGAATGCATTTTTATGTCAAAAGCTGTCCTCCAGAATGACTATGCATGCTTATGCTATGCACATCGATTCTAATCTAACAGATAAGCTCTTCCAATTTACTAGACATCTCCCTCTACAGACAACATTGGCAGTTGGGCAGAAACGAGCCCAGCTGAAAGTGCAAAAATAAAAGGCTGCAGGATTGGCTTTTACCTAGAAGACATATCCAAGGAGTCATTAGTAAAATAAGAGGTAGTTTCCCACTTATCACAATTAGTACCTCAATTATTTTCTCTTAATAGCATACATGAAAGGAGAGAGCTATTTCGAGTCCTGAAAAGGACAACTTAAGAATCCCCTGAGGAAATACAGAAATATGGACATTGTGGCTCTTCCTCAGAAAGTAGAACGTCCCTGCCTCTCCAGTGACCACTGAGTTGCATTCGGTCACATTCAGGTCCTACCACTTCATAGTTCTCATTATAAACTCTCCCAACCCTTTTCCGTCCGTGGTCTATTAAAGAGCCATTTGCGCTTTCCAAGGTCTGAATCACACAAAAATGCATAGAAGACAACCCAGAGCAGTCGACCATATCTACCGGTATATCCTTCAACAAAAAAGTATCTATAGCATTTGGATTTGGAAGGAAGCAATTTGCAACAGGAATCTTATGTAGGAGGAGCTGTTCTATTCTCATTTCCCGTATTTCAATATCCTGAGCTGCAAGTCCTTCATTTTTACAGAGAGAGAGAGAAAAAAAAGAAAAGGATAAGCTGAAACTGAGCACAACTGAATGTGCCTGGATAAATATATATACTGTATATTTGTATCCTGTCGCCCAGCAGGATTTCATGGCTAAGGTAGGACTAGAACTCATGGTCTCTGGCTTTCTAACTTGGTGCTTTAACCACTAGACAAAATTATCTCTCTTATCTTATTATTACATTCTCCTTTCTCTTTCATTTAATTTGCAAGGTAATAGTTAAAAAGCAGAGAGAAAGAACATAAGACACAGGCTCCATTTTTCAGTGATGAGTTGGATGCTTCTACGCATACTGCTTTGGTTGTTACTGTTGCTCTATTTTCAATTCTGATTCAATTTAATGGAGTTTTTATGTACAAATCTAATTTAAAAATGAATAAATAATGTGTAGGAGGTTTGCTTAAGGATTATGACTTGCAATGTGGGTCAAGTATCACCCTCTAAATAAAACACTTCTTTGTCCCTCTTTGACTTCTGATTATCGTAAGAGGCATGAAGGTCTGCTTATTCTGAGATTAAGAAAGAAGTCTCCATAACGGTCAAGTGCATTCAGTAACAAAATTCTAGTGAAGTTTTACTGGATTTACAATTATAGTGAAAAAGAATGGAATTTTCAAATATAATCCCACTGATACTGATTTGGAGGCAAAACAAAACAGTCTCTGATTTCAAGCTAAGCATACAGTTAAGTTAAACCAAATGGCTGGCTGTGTGCCAAACAAATGCTCAGCCTCCAGTTTTAAAAGCCCTATAACACTCTTTCCCCTCTTTTTTGAGTTTATTCTGTGGGAATAAAAGCAGAAAACATCTCCTACAACTGAGCAGGAGGACCATATGGTTGAGGTCTTATTAGCACAGGGATTATCACCTTCAAAGGGAACAAGATTCTCAAAGAGGCTGGAAGCCAACCTCTAACAGGAAAAAGACAATCAGGTGTAGAGAGAAATAAAGGCTAAGTCAGAATCCCATAGGACAAGAAAGCAGAGAAACAACATGTTATTGCTAAAAGCAATCAACAGCAATTAATGGACTGACTGGAGAAAAGTGAAAGATAAAACGAAGAAGAGAAAGATGAAGTTGACAAACTGATCAGATTCAGAATAGAAGATTTCTCCCCCCCCACACACACACACACCAGCAGAGGAGGTGAGAAGAAAGACCAGCTGTTGGGGATCCTGTCAACAATGTGCAAAGGCTGGCTGAGAAAGAAGCAGGAGGGGACCGAGAGGAAGCACTGCAGCAGCTGTGATGTGGAGCTCACCCTGATGAAGGAATGTCATAATTAATGCATGATAATAATAATATCCTCCCACCAAATACAAGAACATTAGCCTCACTCTTAGCGTTCAGAAAGCTTTTAAAAAATGTGGCTTTTAAAATATGCATTTAGAACGAAGGTGACGATGAGAGATATGCCCGAGTTGAGCTGAATCCGGCTGTTTGGTGTTAGGTTATATTATTACCACATTGAATCTAAATTGACAGCAATTATTATTATTGATATGTCTAATAATTGAGACATATTTTGTCTTGTATGTTAGGCTGTAAGACCTTTATATAATACGATTGAAGCAGCATACGTGCACTTGTAGTAAAATAATCATAAAAATGGGTAACATAAAATATCTATATTTCTTCCCCTAGACTTCCCATATTGTTTATCCATTGTGTTGGGCTTTTTGAGAGTAAAAAGGAAACCTTGTCGTCATTTGAGGATGCTTGGCTTGGCCTATTAAGGAGAGAGAAAAAGAGCGGGTGTGAGAAGGCTGCTTTTCCAGGTAGAAGTGGAAGGACTACAGAGAGGCCCTCTTATTCATAACTGGGATTCTGAAAATCCTCTTCATTGATGCCAGAGCTTTGCAGGTCTATTCAGCTTCAGAAAGTACAAGAGGGTGGAAGAATTGTGCCAGATCAAATGGTCAACCATGCAGACTATAAAAGAGGCTGAGCAACTGAGGAAAGGCTCTCCATTGGCGAAAGTGGAATATTTAAGCTTGCGATAGAATGGAGCAATTTCCAAGCAACCTGGGAAAAGGGCTGTTCTACTGATTGCCCACATGGCCTCTGGAACACAGAAACAGCCATTATTCTAAACAGTGTTGCTCCTCAGTGGTCTCTCCTTGGTTTTCTAAGGAGCTTTAGAAAAGGAAGTGAGTGAAGAGAGTTCTAGAGTGAAATTTGTGGAAGATGAGAAGCAAATAAGACTTGGCATGGGCATGAGATCAAGAAGGAATTACTTCTCCACACTTACTGCATGTGTACAAGAATGTCACCCAGCTGTACAATTTTAAAATGACCCATTTCTTTCTTGAAAGAAATTGTCCAGAACCAAATCAGTGCAAGTTGTGATCTCTGGCCATTCATTTCATGGATAAAACTACCCATATAGTATCTGCTGCAAATTGAAAGGATTCAAAGAGATGGCAGAGGCAATACCTTGCAATGTTATTCGAGAAGTTATGAGCATGTGACTTCTGACTTACCCATGTGTAAGAGAATAAGGAAAGTGACCGTAATAGGGATATGCAGGAACTATTGCCTAGGAAAAGTGGGCTGAAGAATACTGAAGTCCAAAATAGCTAGATAACATTTGGAAAACGTTCAGGCAAATGTCTCACTAATTAAATGGACTATGAAGAGGAGGACTATCGGTCTTGCAAAGACTCTGTTATAAAGCCAATCTCAGTAAAAGTAATTTTAACTTTCTTAAGGAGCTGATTTCCTAGTCTGATCCATCTTGTGGTGCTGATAGCATGTGACTCAAATCACATTGGTCAACCATCCTTATCTTGATTTCACTAGCTGACACTCTTAATCAAAGTATCCTTCTGGACCACCTACAGGGATTGAGAATGGAGGCATTATCCTAAAATGGCTCCATTCTTCCTGAGTAGGTTTCAGTTGACCAACATTGGAGTGGGGAAACTAGGTACTACTCAGGGCTTGATCCTCTTCCTCATCCTGTTGAACATGTGTATGAAACAGCTGGGAAAGGTCACTTCCCAATTCAGGATAAGGTATCATCAGTATGTATAATATATCCAGTAATACATGTTCACCCTTGGCCTAAATATCTATCTTGTATAGATTTTTGCCTACCCAACCTGAAGTCACAGAATGGCTACCGGAAGGAACCAACTCTTAAGTGATGCAAATAGAGGAAACTGAAGGCAGGGATACTTTGTGAGGGGTTTCCTTATCTGGAATAAGGTAGCTCTCACAGGCTTGGCTTTCCAGAAGATTGTGAAAATCTGGCTGTTTTGGCAGACCTTTGGGATTTGAGTCCCATAGAGCTTCTGGGGTCAGAAATAAATGTTTTAATATAATTATATATTGTATTTCTGTAATTGAACCTGTTACTATTGTATTGGCTGTAGCTGTGGCTTTTATATACAGATGAAATACCTTACTAAAGTGGTTTATAAACAAATTAATCAAAATAAATAACCAACCCTTAGTTCAGTCAAAAATTGTCTAATTTCAAAGCATTTAATTAATCAATCAAGCAGGTGCCTGTGCACTATACTTACAGTAATTGCCACCATTCCACTTCCCATTTTGCAATATTTTTTAAAATATTCCTGACTAATAATAGACAACTTTTCAATTTGTTTTCCTGCTGAAAAAGAGTGAGATTGTTTCCTCATTAATTCTTAGGATTTTACAAACGTTTTTGGCAGTGATGTCTGTGAGCCTTTAAAAAAAGGTTCCAGAGATCACATTCAGACTAAAAAATGGCCACTTACATGATTATAAATACAACAAAAGGACTGACAGAAATGTATCTTATATCTTCGGTATCAAAAGCACCTTTCTGCCTTCATTTCTGGTCTCAAACTTCTTTCAGATCCCGCCTTCATGAAACACCCCCAAGGAGAAAGAGAATAGTATCAACTTCAAGAAGCAATGAAACATTTGGCAGCAATAACCAATCAACTGTCTTACTCACCAATATATTTCACTCAACTAAGAACTGCTCAAGAACAAAAGGCAACCATATTTTGATACAATGGAGGATGGGGGGAGATAAGAACCTTCTCTAAGTTTTCAGCTTTTTAATATTAGATGCTGTTGTCTTAATGTCCATCAATTCAACCACTCTCCTGTACTACATGTGCAAAGGGCTGCACTCTAAGAAAAAGCAGACCACTGAGAGTATCATATCAGCATCATGACCA